ATCTTGGGGCCTCTTGCTGTGGGCCTGTCCATTACCTCCAGATAGATAGCAACAGAACTACACGGGATTCGGGATTCGGGGCCGCACAGCTGGTGGCCACAGCTGTAGAACTGCTTGAGGCTGCTGCAGCTGCTGCGAAAGCCCTTTGTCCTTTGAGGCCACAAAAGTTAGGAGCGTGCAGTGGGAGAAGGTGATTGGAGCTGGGCTTTCTTTCTCTGTCCTCCGCGGTCTAGTAGCTATTGTTACACACCAGACAATTTATTATTAAAACATCTCATTAAAAGATACGTAGTAGCATAGATCCTGTGGTTTTTGTCGCATCTGCAAGAGACCAGGCTCACAGCTGCTTCTTGCATAGGAAATGCTGCAGACAGACTTAATGTGCTCCTTTGAGTTCTCCTTAGAGCATTAAGGTGAAAAAGCACTAAACAGCTAAAAAAAAAGTTGGGGATTTCGAAGAAGCCACATTCATTTTGGGCAAACTTATATACTTGACAACACAGCAGTCACATTTCTGAGTCATTTTTTTATTCAACATATAAAGCAGGATGCTTATTCATCTTGATATAAAATACACAGCTGATGCACAAGATAAGATAGAATTATACAAAAATACCCAGTCGCTGACCTCAAGTCAGTGTGCAGGATACACCACACAGGACATTCGGAGCCTTCTTTTGCTCTCTCAGCTATTTCTAATTATATCAGCTTAAGTGACTTTACTTGATAACTATTTTCTTTTAAAAATGGGTTTGAATTAGGCATGTAATAAATCAGTAGATCAACAAAGATTGTGCTTCTTCGTTCTCGAACGTTTTCTTCTAATGAATCTATCCGACAAGTCTTCTGGGACTGCACATACCCTTAAATTATTCATTTTAATGAGTTTAGTCTGAGGTAAACATTTTTAAAGAGTACTGCAATATACTTTACTTAGGCCACGCAGAAGAGTTTTATTGGAAGCGTGTGTGGGTGACAGTTGTTTCAGGGCAGTAGTTATGCATTAGGTGCTATTCTTTAAATAAATTGGATATAATAATGGAATAAATTGGATATGATCGCTTACACTGTCTATGAACAATTTCATAGACTCACAGTAGCAGCACCCAATGGACTGTCCACAGGACTGACGCTTCTGAGGGGCAACTTGGAGCTCCTGTTGCATCCCAGAAAGGGCAGAAGAGAGTGAAAACCAGAACTTCGAATGATTGTTTTTCCTTGAGCTCCAGGAGGGTTACACTTCAGATATTAGCCCTGGTTCACATCCGGTAATTGCCTTTTGTTTTTATTTTCCCAGCATCTTCACTTGTGCACAGCTGGTGCGCTGGTGTGGTGGCTGGTTTACATGTGGCCTCAGGGAAGCGTGTGGAAGTTTCGAGGGGAAGGGTGTAGACAGAAAAGATAGGACAGTTTCATGTGCATGCCCACTGCTGTGTCTTTTCCATCTCTTGGGGCTCAAGGTGCTATGAAACAGGACAGAAAGATTGCCACCCGTCACCAGGGACACCAGGCACTTTTTCTTTCGCTATAGCATGTTTTTCCACCTTTCTCCCATTTAATCCCTCTCCACCTCTTCACCAGTGGCGGGAAAGGGTAAGGACAATATGGAATTGTTGAAGAGCACAACTGGACGCTCGCTGGTATCACCTGAGGACTGAGTTTAAAAGGTTCGTGTCATTAGTGTATGGGCATAAATCACACTGAAATGAGACACTGAGTCTCCAGCTGCGACAGCACAGCTTAGAAAATTCCAAGCTTACTGGTTTTGCTTTTTAATAAAAATGTTACTAGAAATAAGGTAAAATTAAATAAAATTGAAGCTCTGGCTCCTAGTTTAGTGCTCAAATTGCTGTGCTGCGACATAAGAATTTCTGAGTCTCTGTTCATAGACCAAGGCCCTGCACGGGATGCAGGCACGGAACGACCTGCTGAGGAAGCTGGAATCGAGCAGTCGGGGTGGGCTGAGAAGAGAAGAGGCCAGCTGGAGGCCGAGGGCAGAGGCTCCTGGCGCCTCCCGCGTCCTCCAAGCCTGGAAGCCTGGAATCCTCCCACGTGCGGCAAGAGGGAAGCTAAGGAAGCGTTGGGTGAAGTCTTAAATTCATGAACCACAGGGGAAAGATCTTTGTATAAAACAACAGAAATAAAATGAGCAGTTCTCAAGTCAAGGCGTCAGAAAGCAGCCACTCATCTGCAGGGGAACAGTGGCGGGTTCCGGAGCGGAACACGGGGGCGTTGGAAAGGCAGAAAGATGCGTTCTCCCCAGTTAGCAGCGCACTCCCGGGCGCCCAGTGCTGCACCCCACAGCCAGGCTGGGACGGAGGACGCAATGCGGGCGTCGCTACGGCCTCCTCCTCAAGGCTGGCGGGTAAAGGCTGGTATCTGGATTTCCTAAACGCAAGGTTGATAGTAAAAGAGCTAAGTTGCTTGCATTTCCAAATGTAAGGTAAATTTATAGATGAGGACAAAAGGCCGTGATTGTTCCCTGGGTTACAATGTGCGGCCTAACTCTATTTGTCTCGGTCCGCACAACAGTGTTGTGCACCAGCGCTTCCACTGGGTCACAGCAAACCTTTGCAGCCTGTGTCCCCCGCCCCTGCCTGGTTTCGTGCTGAAGATCAGACCCCGGGAGACAGAGGGGCTTAGGCGGGTGAGAGATGGAGAGGAGTGTGTCGAGGATGCTTTTAGCCATTTCCTTGCAGAAGCCCCTTTGCTGGGACGGTGATAGGCCTGCACCGGGCGCGTGGCTCAGGATCTGGGCGCAGTCCTTCTAGATCGCTTGGCCTTGGCAGGCCGAGGTAGGAAATGCACGTGGGTCTGCGGCCAGGACGCTGCCGTGGAAAGCGCCCAGCGGAAGCGGCGGCCCCACCCCAGACCCGGGTCCCCGCGTGGCGCTGATGGCGCTCCTCCTCCAACCAAGCGCTTTTTCTTTTGGTGCAAATATTTCTGTTTCCTAATTGAGCTTTGGTCTTCGTTTTGGAAAAGGGAAAGCGGACATTTACATATGTAAATACGTGCACGTGACTGCACACGCACTTGTAGGTAGCTCTATCCTAGTTGACGAATGCGTCACATTTTGGGCAAGTGTCACCTTCCGCAGCCTCGTCTCAAGCACACTCACAGCACAGCAAGGGTTCAGGAACACAGCTGGCCCTAAGGCTAGAGCTCAGAGGAAAACACTGGGGTCGTTCCATCATGGAAGTCCAAATTTTATCAAGAAAGTTAAGCTACTTATGAAGGGACACCTGCCCTCAAGTTGCTGGCTGGGCTGTGGATTCCCGGGGAGGGTGAGACCGATGCTCCGTGGCCCCTGCGCAGATCCGAGCGCCACCGTGGGTCGCGCTGCCTGGCAGCTCCCTTTCAACTCTCTCCTCTCCTTGCCTGCTGGTTCTTATCACTTTGTTAGTATCAGGGAGACCATTACAGTTGTAAGAAGCCGACACTGAGGAAGGGGAGATTAGACAGCACTGTGTCACTGGCTGAAGGCACTCGGCATGCTAGCATAGTTTGCAACGCGATCATACAGCGTGTATTGGGGTTTGCACACGTCTGTGTGTCTGCCTGTCAATCTGTCTATCTACCTACCTGCCTGTCCATCACATGAGTTCTTTCAGGGGTGTGCTAAACCGGTTTATGCTAGTTCAGAAGGACTGGCGGACACATTTCCAGGAATTTAAAATGTTGCTTAGGCTTCTCATGTTGGTAGCCTGAAAATGAGTCTGGAGAGAATATTTAAATCTGGAAGTTGGTAAACAATCAAATCAAATATTTTTTCTTCTTAGTGAATAAGATAGTAAATAATTTACCAGCATTGGTAAATATGGCAACTTTGGTCAGAAAAGGCATTGCAATGTCCATAACAGAAGCCAACAGTCACAAAAATCTATCAGAGGCAAAGAAAAACAGTCTTTGGGAATTTAATGTAGCCCCAAATTTCACAAATAATGTTAACCACCACCCATGAAAGGCAGGAGAGGGGAACGGGAAAAAGCAGCAGGATGTAGCACGTTTAGGTACAAGTGACAGGTGATGCATTTTATCACTATGTATATCTGAAATGTACCAATAAAATAAAGCAAAAAAAAATCTTTAAAAAAGTAAATACTGGCCACTTTTTTGTTAAGTTTTAAAAAATAAAACACTGGAATTCAGCATGTTTCCTGATTATAAATATGGTATAGGACATTTGTACAAGCCTAATTTGGAACCTTTGTTTTTATTTTTAAAAGCAAAACCTCTACATTTGTCTTTGGCAGAAATATTGGCTAAGCTCAAGTATAGATGAAAAACGAGTACTTTCTGAAAGTGAAGGAATGAAGGAAGCACACTTCCCTGATGACACTTTTTGTGTTGATTTCACTCGGCGCTATCTAGGCCCTCTGTATGCAATCTGCAGGTGCATGTGCACGCGTGCACACGGGCCTCCACACATTAGGGTGCTGGAGAAATGGGGTCTCAGCTCCGCTGTGTATTCTGCTAATAACCAGGAATAGTTTGTGCTAGAAACGGCTTTGAGCAAATGCCACAGGAGCCAGCTGATCTGCCTGAGAGGCTCCTCCTTTCCTAAAAATGTCCAAGTATCCTTCTTCCCCCCCCCCCTTGGCTTAAGGATGCACTTTGTTTAAATATACACATGTAGGGTTTGATGAACGCTTCATCTTGCAGTCACACCTAGAAATACGGATTTAAGTTTATCTGTCTGATTTAGCTAGGAAGGAAGGTGTTCCACACAGAGCCAGGATGAGCAGGTGATCACTAGGGAAGGGAGGAGGGAGGGAGAAAGGGAAAGAGGGAGGGAGAAAGAGGGGGAGGAAGGGAAGGAGGGAGGTAGGAAGAAAGGGAAGGAGGGAGGAAAAAAGGAAGGGGGGAAGGAGAGGGAGGAGGGATGGAGAGGGGAGAGGGGGAGGGAGGGAGGAAGGGAGAGGGGGAGGGAGGGAGGAAGGGAGAGAGAGAGATTGAGATTCTGAAAGCAAATTATTACAGAACAATGACAAGCAGCCAAGGACAGTCAAGCTCTCGAAAGATTTATCCTTCTTTTCCAATCCTGGTGATGCTGGCACCCCCCAGACACATTTCTAGTCTTCAGGGTCTTAGGTGGACAGCCAACCCGTAGGCTGACTCTGAGACGTAAGGTAATTCCTTAAAAGGTAGTATCAAAAAGTTAAGCCCACAGCATCTGGTATCTCTGTTCACTCCCTCTTGCATGACGAAAGCAAAGGCCCGCACTTTGTAGCCACCGACGGTTCTCCCGCTGCGATAGTAAGTGAGGTGAGGAAACGGAGCTGTTGGAGACGCATCAGCGGCGGCGGCAGCGCTCACACGCAGCTGCACACGCTCGTCCACCGCTACTTTCCTAGCAAGTGGGGCAGCCTGGCACCTCGTCAGGCGGCGGAGTCCAAGCAGCCAGCTGCCAGGGCTACCTCCAGGACCAGAAAGCGCACATGGCCGTGTGTCCTCTTCCTGCTGGTCTGAGCTTCCAAACTTAAAATTCTCCAAAAACATTTCTGGGGCTCTATTTCAGTACTGAAGTAATTTCTTGGTAAGATGCAACACTGAAGCGGAATACTATCTCTCTTAGAAATAAGAAATGTGTTTGGAAAATTAAGTCTCTTTTTGAAAAATGAAAAACAAACATAGTCTCACAGCCTGGGGGTTTAAACGAACGAACGCTGTACCAGGAGTTCAGAAAACTCCTTTGTGTAGCATCCCGCAAGCTGCTTGGCAAAGATGATTTTAGCATTTCAGGGTCACCCCCTACGCTGACATGTCCTGTTCCGAAACCATTTTGGCTTGCCCGCCTCACAACATGGCTTTTCATGGTAGATCACTGCTTTGCTACACAGAACTGCTGTAAGTGTTTTTTTTTTTTTCCCTGCATAACAAGTTTTGTGTTTTAAAGCTCAATATCAAAATTAAACATGTTCTATAAAATTTTAAATTAATCCATTCAGTGCACTTGTTTTTAGGCAATGATCAGCTTGATTTCTAATTTACACAGAATATCAGCTCAGTTGCACTATTTTCCAATCACCTGGGAAAAAGGACACACACATGAATCCTTCCCAACTACAGAGCCCGACACAAAGGTGTTTTCAGACCACGTAGACATGGGCTCTAGCAGAAGAAGCATTATCGCCTGAGCTGGGAGAAGCGATCTCCTTCAGGCAGTTCTTGGCAGGTACAAATGCGGTCAAGCTGAATGTGGACACCCATCAGGAATCAGGAAAAAAATCTTAATTTATATTATTTCAAACTTAGATGTATCAATGATCATAAAACTCTGTGCTCCTTAAACACTGTACTTTGGGTGGTGACTGAAGGTATAAACATATTTGTATAAATTATTCTTCTTTAAAACACTTTGTAATTTTATTTACTCAAAAAATGAGTCATTATTTAAAATATTTCCATTGTTTTACAAAATATATCTTTTGTGTGCTATTTTTGGGTCACGCTTGATGTGTCATTTATGGAGTCATTAATCCTTGATGGATTACGCTGCATTGTGTGACCTCTTGCTTGTGATTATATTATAAATTTCTTGTCACATATTTGAGGCAAACCTGAGGATAGGTCACTGAATAATTGTTGTTCTTTTCTCTTACAAAATATTTCATTTTTCCATTTTCTTCTTTAGTGGCCTTTTGAAGAATCCAATCTATTGAAAAAACACAAAATACACAAATTTGATTATTTTAATTTATGGAATAAGTACTAAGCCCTTTGCATAGAATCTAGCTTAAAGCTATGTTGGAAAATCTGGGCATATAATTGATTCATGTAATTGAAAAAAAAAATTTTACTGACTTATTAGTTTTAAATGCCTAGAAAATAATCTTTATTGAATTTCTATTTTAATTTTTGCTGCTTTAAATGCTTAACTATATGATGTCTCTCTTTAATTGTACGGAGCTAATTTAGAGGGTTCTGGGAATTATTTTGAGAACCATACAGGCTGCAGTTAGCTAGCCCTCTGTACCGTACCATCATGTTTTTGGTTTTTTCCAGAGCTATTTTCATCAAATAACTATGGTCACAAGTTGAGGTCATTCGAGCTTCCAGGCGGTCTAGTAGCCATCCCCAGGCAAATGGGGTAAAGGGACCTCCAACTACTCTTGAGCACCTGCTGCAGGCTTGAATAAGGGACCTCTTTTTTTCTTTCTTTTCTTTTTTTTTTTTTCTGGAACCAGGAATTGAACTCAGGTCCTTGCGCTTACCAGGCAAGAGCTTATTCTACTGAGCCATCTCCTCGGCTCCTCTTGAAAGTCATTGTCCCATTTAAATAGGAAAATTACTTCACAGTGGAGTGAATGGGAGTCACACTTCATTATTCCTCGTCATCAGGGCCTCCTAAGGAGCTATAATCCTGCATTCATTTCCTTTTGAAAACTAGCAAACCTAGTGTGGGGCTGCAAGGTATCTTTGCAATGTCCTAATTTTAAATATCTATTAAAGAAAATAGGGGCTGGGCAGATGGCTCAGTGGAATAAGTGCTTCCCTGGCAAGCATAAGGGCCTGAGTTCAATCCCTGGTTCTGCCACAAAAAAAAAAAAAAAAAAAAAAAAGAAAAGAAAGAAATGAAATGACATGAAAGATCAGAGAGGAGTAGCTTTTATTTTATTTTATTTTTTTGGCAGAACCGAGGATTGAACTCAGGTCCTTGCGCTTGCCAGGCAAGTGCTTATTCTACTGAGCTATCTCCCCAGCCCCTAAGGAAAATAGCTTTTAAAGTTGTGGATATTTTAAAATTTGAGACTGGGATAAAATGAGTCAAGCAAAGGCTGGCCAGATAGCTCAGCAGACTAAAGTGCCTGCTTAGGCACAGGTACCAGGGTTCGATCCCCAGCGTGCCAAGCCGGCCCTGCCCCTGGGGTACGCTAAGACTTCGATTGAGACTAGGTGTGGTGGTGCACGCCTGTAATCCCAGCACTTGGGAGGCTGAAAACAAGAGGATCACTACGAGTCCAAGCTAGTAGCGAGACCCTGTAGACCCTGTACTAAATACATAAAAATAAAAGAAAATAAAATAAATAATGTGGGTCAAGCAAAGGCAATTATTTAATTTGAATATAGAGCACCAACTCATGATTTTAATCGTATTTATATAAATTCTGTGAGGGAACCATATACTTTAAAAATAATTATTACACATCTGAAGGCTTTAGGAGCATGAGGTCTCAGGCAAGCGAGTTGGGCACAGCTCTCCTCGGGCTTCCTGTCTTCTGCCACACAGGGGGTGCTTGGTGGGAGACGAGCAAAAGCTGACAGCAGGAAACTGCCCGGAGGAACAGTGAGCGGGTGGCTGTCCCCCACACCAGCTCTGTTAAGGTCGCAGCCTTCGCCTTTCAGCCACCCACAGCAGCTCTATGTTCACGAGCGGCTCGGGTTCCTTCACCTGTGCCTGCAGGTGCTGGGTTGAAAATAAATCACTGAGGCTCACACAGAAGCCTTGCACTGCCTGGCTTTGGGTCTTCTCTCCGGCCTCTGTCAAGTTTCTGCTTAACCTTCCTTTGCTTCCACACCCTGAGCAGCCTGCTTTCAAACTGAACATCTATCACCTGACTGCTTCTACTTAATCAATTCTGTAAAATGGAGTGCTTAAGGAAAGTTGGGGATCACGGCGGAGACTAGGAGAATGAAATTTAGACCGCAGACTGGACTTGAAGTGATGCTCCCGTTTTTAGCCTCCCAAGTGCTGGGATTACAGCTGCACCACCATGCTGAGTCTCAATCAGTCTCTCAGCGCGCCCCGGGACTGGGGCCGGCACGACATGCTGGGGGTCAAACCCCAGTCGCTGCGACTGCCTAAGCAGGTGCTTTAATCTTCTTATATCTTTAATGATCCTTTTTATACTTCTATTTCAAATGCCTATGACAAAAAATAGGTAGTAAAAGAATGTAACATGAAATAAATATTGAAGGACTAAATTCATGCTGATATATAAAGAACTACAAAATTGTGGGGCATTCCAACCCTCCCTATCCACAAAGGACGCCTTCTGAAACTCCGCGGGTGTCTGGAAACATTATTTTTTCCTGTGTGTACATAGTAATGATAAAGTTGATAAGGTTTAATCTATAAATTAGACACAGTCAGGGATTAAAAACACCTAATTATGACACAGAACGATTCTAACGGCGCATGTAGTAGTGACTTTCCTGTCTCTGTCAAGGCGGCTTTTCACAATATACTGCATTTGTGGACTGCGGCCGACTGGGACGCTGAAACTGGTGAGAGACTGGGTGAGCAGACTCATCTGTCCCCTCCTCCTGATGAGTTATGCTGCATGGAGAACGTACTGCTTTAGGGTTAGGAACTGCCCTAACATTCTGATGTGCGGACAGTGATTGGACCGTGGAGGTGGACGCTCTCCAGTGCACTCGTCCCGCGACAAGCCCAGCATAAGTGTCCTGGGTGGACATGGGCCTGGAATGACCTGGGTGGTGCATCCCCATCCTTGGCTCCTCCCGTGTCTGCCTGCTCCTGACCCCGGGGCTGCCTCCCCCCACAGCCCTCCAGCCACCAAGGACCGAAAACTGTGAGTCGAAATGAACCTTGCCTCCCTTTAAGTTGTAGGTGTTGGCATTCTTGTCATAGCAGAGGCAAGTGGCTGAGACTGGAAACACAGCCTCAGGGTTAATTAATAGCCACCAAATCGCAGGCACCCGCGTGGAGGAAGTTAGAGGCCAGTTCTGCTGTCCCAGGGGTTCTTGTGGACTGTCATTCCACTTACTGGCTCCGTTGGCCTGATGGGTGCATCGTTATTTCAAGACCAGTTTGTCAACCTATCAGCTGCTAGACTTTGTGAAGATTTAATTTCTGCCCTGTGTACCTCTAGGAGTTTAGATACATAAAGGCTGTGTCTTTTGAAGATGAATTGCTGCTCCAAAACGACTTCTCCTGTCCTTAACACGTAGTCCTGGACTGTGCTGTTCTGCTCAGTAGCCAGGGCAGAGGGACCCAGGAGGGAGGGGAGGAAGCAGTTGTCAGAAGTGCCTGCTCCAGGTGAGCAAGTGCACACCCACGTCCCAGGATAAGGGCAGCCTCTGGGGCCCGCCACACGCTGGACTACAATTTCAGAAAGGCTTCCATCTAACTACAAAGCAAAGTGAGCAGAGGGCTTAACGCTTCAGCAAAACAGAGTCGCTGAAAGTCTGCAAACTGCGAGGGATCCTCATGCCCAAACCAGGCAGTTTTGTTTCTGGGACTTCACCATCTAGGACACATAGATGGGCTCTGGGGACAAATCTTTGCTTCAACCCAGTCACTGTCTGGCTAGCAACCTTGAGAGAGTTAATTGGCTTTTCCGCGTTAACATCCTGGGTGTAAACCGTGAGATTCTTGCTTGGAAAGGTCTTGGGAAGACGACAGGGTGCAAGCAGACAGCGGGGCCCAAGAGTCAGAGCTTTGCTCTGAGTTTACAGGCCGCGCAGTCCCGGGAAACACCGAAGGCTTCTGTGTCTCTACTTCCCTGCGTATAGATGAGGCTCCAAGTGAGGTTTCCCTCACGGGGTTAACACGAGTATGAAGCAGCAAGGCTTAAAGCTCCGCTGGAGCGCTTGGAACAGTTTCTGCGCGTGCGCCCCTCAGGAGGCGCCTGGGACCCCCGTTCTGATCTGATCGCTAAGCTCCCCTGAAGTTGCTAAACCCGCTCAAGGTTGCTCAGGACAGCCTGATGTCTGTTAAACGACCTTCGTTGGGGCCTAAAATGGTCTTAGATGCTGCAGGATGTATCAACACAACACCCCTGCTGGTGGAAAAATGTGTTTACTATTGATGCTGTTTTAGACTAAACATAATAAAATAAAATAAAAATAAAACAGGTGAATAAAACTTCCTGTTTGTCTTAAACAGAAGGCTGAGGCCAGAGAAACCCTATCCAGCCTCAGCTCTGGCTTTCCTAGTCTTGTTGGAGGCCTCCTAAAACTCTGTGCTCAGAAGAGCAGGCCGTAGTGAAAGAACTCATCAGAAACACACTGTGTTCATGGTGCTTCCTGCCGTTTCAGCGACAGTGCATCGGCCAGCCTTGGGTACCACAGTGTGGCCAAGTCAGGTACTACAGAGGGAGTGCTGAGGCCTTGTGAAGAGGGAGAACTGGACGCTGAACTTGGTGGAGAATTTCATCTTGAGAATTTTGTTGGGAAGAAAAAAAAAAACATATTCTACTTATTAAATTAAATGTCACTGAGCTACGTCTCCAACATGGCTTCGTTTACACTGTCCTCTCACAGTGAACTCCAGAGGAGGAAGCTACTTACTTAGGCAGTCAGAAGGGGTAACAACAACTGGCAATTCAGGACCAGAGAAACACATTATTTGGTTAATTTTTTTGTTTATGTGTTAGAAAAATAAATATGTAGCTAAAGTTTGTATTTTGAGTGTGTTTTCATTATTTAGCAAAGCACTGAGTAAAACATAAGTGAGAATAGAGGCCAACTTGACTTTTTAAAAAATTATTTATTTACTTGGTACAGCGTCTCACTACACAGCTCAGACTCATAGCGATCCACCTGTCTCAGCCTCCCCACTGCTGGGATTACAGGTGTGTGCCACCACACCCTGTTTCGGTGGCCAGCACAGTGCACCCTGGTTCCGATGCCTGGAGGGCATGTGGTACCTGGGATCGAACCTGGGTCCTTGCATTTGCCAAGCGGGTGCTTAGACCCCCAAGCTATCTCTCCATCCTGACATTTAATATTTAATCAGAAAAACTTTACATGTATTTTTTTCGTGAGATTTTATTCTCTATAACCTAAAAGTGACTCTTACCTGAATGTTTGAAAATGATAGTTGAGAGTTTAAAAATTCTTTCACAAATCAACCTAATCCTACACTTGTATAAATATTCAGATTAACCAGACAGAAAATAAATGACTACTTGACCTTATAAAGGAATTGGAAGTAAAAGATCTGTGAAGCTAACATCGATCTCCCTTGTGTCAACTCATTAGTAAATGCATCACCCTTCACTCGGGCACAAAAAATACTGCTTTTATTTTTTAACATTGAACCAGTATTCGAGCTTTCCAATAACACATACGTATGATTAGGGAATGCTTATCTTACGTGTGAAGCTGTTGCTTGTATGGCTTGAAATTCACATAGGAATTTAGTTTTCTTTCATTTTTCTGTTTATAAAAGTGACGCTTGTCATTACATTTCAAATGCTATTGACATATGAAGACCCTCTATAACCCTCACTTCAAGAGATTCTCCATGACTTCTGGGTGTGTCTTTCTCATTTTTTCCCTTTTGCAAAGATAGGATCATATTGTACGTAATGTTTAAAATATATTCTTTTTCTCATGCTCTCACGTCCACGTCTATTTTATTGCTTACAGCAGGTAAGTCATGATGGACTTCGCCAATTTGCTGGTGGCGGCTGTAATGCCTCAGAAGAGCTCTGGCACTTACCTTCCACAGCGCCAAGATGAGGAGCGTTAGAAGCAGCAGCCCAGCGAAGGCGCTCAGGAGGATGACCCACAAGGGCACTCGGCCCGGCAGCCCATCTTTGGACATTTGAATAGCAAGCTGAAAGTCAGGAAACAAGTCATCAGCACAGGCAGACCCTACTGGAACTCCTGGAACACTGGCTTCTTGCACGCTGTAACTTTCTACCAAACAGTGTCCCTCACTATTTCGCGGTTTGACTTTCACGAATTCACTGTTTAGCTGTTTTCAAAAAATATTAATCTAAATTATTTATTGTAGATTTTTCGCTATATCGCGGGATTTTGCAGTACTGTACACAATATGTATGCATGTAGGTTTACGAGTTTAGAAAATGGTTAAGAAAATTATAAGTGTTTTTAAACATGTGGGAAAGGTTTGTAAGAGTGTAGGAAGGGTTTATGAACCCCTAAAATATATATAAATACTAAAATAAATATAACATCACTACTTCGCTGATTTCCACCTATTGCAGGGGTGTCTGCAGCATAAGCCCGCGATAAGGAGGGGCCGCTGTACTTAATCCCAGTCCTAAAGACAGAGAAAACATGGAATTACACTGAAAACTGCTCTTCATCTGCTATAAATCCTTAACTGTATCAAAGTTGTTATCACCAAGAAAATACTAAGAACTTTTACTTTTCAGAACTTAATGTGTAGAGAACTCCAGCGAAGCAGAATGCTCTGGGGTGGAAGTGAATTTCTGCCTAACTCAGGGAAAGCCCAAGAGCTGCATGTTTTGGAGGCTTACTGAGAGACCAAGGCATCATCACAAGAGCGCTGGCTGGATGGCTGGAGGAACGGACACCGCAAAACAAAAAGCCCGCGGAGATGTTCCAGGGCTAGTCCTGGAAATCTAGTATGATAAAATCCTAACTAGGAATGCATAACTTTCATCGAACAAAATGCACAAATGCGGGGCACACCGACGTTTACGCATCTGCCCCAGTGTGTTCTCCGCTTATGCCAAGCCCCTCCCCCGGCTGGCTCATCCTGCTGCCGTCGGGCACCGGGGTCTTGGCTGGAGTGCCCCAGACACCCCGAGGCCCCCGCTCCCGAAGCCTTCGTAGGCAGGCACCGAGCGCCAAGGGGTGCTCTGCTCCGCGCCCCCCTTAGCTACCCAAGAAGAACCAGTCTGGGCACATATTGATGGCTAAGAGTCGCTCGGGTTTCTGGGTGCGCCTTAACGTGGAATACAGCTCTTTCTCAACCTAGAGAGGAAACCAGGGTAAAAAAGGAAACTGAATCGGGACCTACGTGCATATAATAGATCTTAATTAAAACCCCGCAGATCTTTCCGGTCAGTGCTGATGGAGATGCCGGAATATGGAACCAGACTAATAAAGTAGGCTGGGGAAACTTCTCTTTACTTTTTTTATTTTTATTTTTTAAATTTTTAATGTATTTGGTATCTCACCACACAGCTCGGACTGGTAGTGATCCCCCTGTGTCAGCCTCCCCAGCGCTGGGATTACAGGCGTGTGCCACCGTGTCCAGTCTCGAGGGGTGGCTCCCGTGCCCGGGGCAGGGCTGGCACCATGTGGTACCGGGGACCGAACCCCGGTCCTTGCGTGTGCCTAGGCAGGCACTTAGGCCGCCAAGCTATCTCCAGGCTGCGGAAGCTTTTCAACTGCTTGTCTGAACTTAAACACGCAAGCTGGAGTCTAGATAAGATCATCGACTTCCCAGAGCTCACGTGGTTACAAAATGAGCACTTTGGGGTAAATGACTAATATAGATACAGTTTCCCTTTAGGACGAAATGTAAGGTAAGTATCTCCAGGAGAATTTTAAACTAACATGTTAGCAAAAATAAAGCTAATTTAAAGTTTTTAACATAACATATTTAGGAATCAAATATACTTTCTTCTGATAGAATAAATACATGTATTTTTCAAATTCTAGTGAAACGTGGACTTTCCTGGGACTGGAGTGATTTCGCGTTCTGCACTGATCATGCTAAGTACATGTATGAAGTGGGGAGTGTAAAATGCAAGCGCTTTTCCTTTTATGAAGGAATATGCTTACCAGACACCTCTGACATTGGGGTAGTTTGAGAAAGAGAATTCTGCAAGAACACAGGAATGGTAGAGAGGTCCTAATGGGGCCTGAGTGGACTTGACTTCTGCAGCGCTGCTCAGCACAGGGGACATTTAAATTCTCCCTTGACAGGAAGGGAGACCACGCTGCAGTTTCTGCATCTGTAACAAGTACTTGGCCGTATTTCATAGACATTAAAGGGTAAAAACCTCAGATTTGCATTTTTGCTTAGAACTCAGTCTAGATAGCGTAGTAGGGTCTGCCACCCCATTTTTGCCTCAGATTTCTCAATGACTAAATGAAGAAAACTTTTTTAACTGCACACACATTACCGTGTACCCTAAAGGCCTTTCTGGAAAGCAGTCATTTTTCCAGGTCTGCCCTACAGATACCAGCCGCATTTATATCATCAATTTTTAAGGAGGAAAATTACAAGTGCTCGTTCCCAGTGTGAGAATGCTCACTTGCTGTGACAGAAGCAACAGCATTTAATGTGTTGCGTTCATTGTGAAGAATATTTTCCTAGTTTCACAGGGAGAAGAATAAAAGTCACATTGGAAGCCAAAGAAGTAGAAAACCAAGAGTATCTGTCACTCACCAAGAGCGGTACCAGTCACAGCTTACGAGAATGCAAAGACTTATTAAAAATTATTTCACAAAATTTGGAATAAAACACATAATGTTTTCAAAGCTTAGAAGTACACTTACCTCTCTTTTTTGGTTGCTACTACTTAAAATCAGTGTTGAATTTTCACTTTGAAGCTCTCCCCTTATAGTAAGATTTAAGCTTGAAAAATGAGTCTGAAAGCAGATAGGATTTGTTATAACATATTATGCTCATGGAAATGCGAGCTGGCCATGTTTGGGTAACACAGTTACTAGAGACAAACTTTTCTTGAGATTAAAAATGCTGGCTTTGTTGAGTTCCAAATGGAACTGACGGTATCTAATACTGACCAGGTACCCACTCCCCTCTTGGGACACTAGATTTTCACTTAGATTCTTGTCATTGAATGAAAAGGATTTCACACATTATTTCTATTTTGATTTTTTTTCTTAGAGAAGTAAGCCTCAGGTTCTGCACACCTCTAATGTAGGAGGACGTAGCACTAGACGGCTACAGCAGGTCCATAAGGCGCTGATTTATGACGAGCTCTAAAAGTACCGATAGTCAGGACTGCATAACGTAGAAGAGCAGCAACTTAATATGACCGATCCTGAAAATGGTTTCATTGGACCACATATACTTTTTAAGAGAGAAACAAACAATAGGAGCCCCCTAGGTTTTAAAGGAATTTGTTGGCAGACACAGTTGACTTTGTCTTCCAAAATGTATTCACATAGCATAAACGTTCAGTATAGCACAAGCTCACACAGATGCCAGCTGTTACCGGTGGCGTCAAAGACTGTCACTCCATCATGCCTCATCCTTTCACTGAATTCCAAACTATTAAGATAGTGTCATTTTGGGTTCTGCAGAGGTGTTCAGCTCAAAGACAAAGGCTGCGTGCCGTATAGTTTTAGAAAGTGGTCTTTGGAGACAGCTTGGTGGCTAACGGGAAGACGAGCCGACTGGGCTGGGTGGGGAGAGCCAGTGCTCAGCCAGCGCCCTGACCACCACTATCCTGTCCTCGCCACAGGACGGCTGTGCTTTGCACGCTTACACTGAGTGGTGAACAAACCCCTGGTTTTTTTGTTGTTGTTGTTTGTTTGTTTTGTTTTGTTTGATTGCATTGAATAACTGCAAAGAACAAAGTGAGCACTTACTTTTATAAAAGTTGGTTTCCACAAGATGAGTGAGACGTTCACCTGGCTCAGGTCAGAAGGCAGGAGGTGACACGTGATGGTAGCAAGCTTACACGTACTGCAGTCCTGTTTGGACGTCCAAAGGGAACGTTAGTAGCCTTGCTCTCTAACAGAAATACTACATTAAGATGCTTTAGACTGTCAACTCCAGGTTGATGCTGAACTTATTTTAATTTTGAAGCATAAAGTAAGAACAGCACTTAGTTTACCAGAAGCGTGCCTCGTTTCAGATGCTCGGATTTTGATATAATCATTTTCTTTCCAGCATTGATACCAAGAGGGTCCTCCAGGCTGTGAGGTCTGCAGTTTGCATTCTAAGAAGTAAAAATTGTTTTTATTAGACAGTGCCAGAGGGAAAATAAGTTGATACAGAAACGTGAAAAATCTGTGCATGGCAGCCATCGCTGTGCGTCAGAAATCTGTAGGAGAGCAGGCCACCAGGCACCAGCCACAGTCTGATCCCCAGGGAGAGCTAGCATCAACATGGCCCTCCGAATTGTGACTGAGCCCAGTCAGATTGGAAGAGAAATGAAAGGGTGCTATTATAACTTACTACTTTGTAAGCAATGTACTCATTAATTAATTTTTTTTTTCTGCCAAGATTAGTTTCTAAGTTCTAATAACACTTTTTGGGAAAAAATTTAAAACTCAATGGAGGAAAAGAACATTGTCTTCTTTGTATGATGAGTCATATGTCGATTTACAAGATATAACTGACAAGAAGAACTCTTGTGTATGTTTATGCATTTGTTCAATAATAGTTTTGGGTCCCTATGTCGAGGGTAAGAGTCTCACCACACGTGGGAGGAGTATGCAAGGTGTCCCTACATATGTCAGAATGCAACAACCATTCCAAGGCTTGATTTCGGGTTGTTTCTCTAAACTTGGCCCAATTCAGATTTTGTGCTTTAGGTAAAAGGTGATTAGGATTCAAATGAGTAAGGTAATATGAAAATTAAGTCTTTCTCTTGCTGTTTTCTCACAAACCTGTGTTTTAGTTAGAGGGAAATTTCAGTTTCTTTCTTTTTTCTTTTCTTTTTTTTCTTTTTTTTTTTTTGGTGGAACCAGGGATTGAACTCAGGCCCTTGCGCTTGCCAGGAAAGCGCTTATTCCACCGAGCCATCTCCCCGGCCCCTTATTTTTTTCTTGTGTGAGAAAAACAATGATGGTGAACAGCTGGCACTGCTGGTTCTTCTTGATTTTGAGAACAATTTCTAAAATGCGTGCAGAGACAGACTTTTCAAATGATGAAGTTATGTACGCATAATTTTCCATGTTTTGGACACTAACCGGTAACAATTATCTACCATATGCTTAGTGATAAAGACATAGAGGAGGGTTAATACTGCTGTTATTTGGAATAAGTGCATAAAAATAATTATCACTTTATGCACAGTTGTGCATGTTTAAGATTAACTGAGTGTCTTTAGAAAGTTGTTTGACCACCTTAAACAAATTTAAAAATATAATGATTTTTCAGGCATGGAGAAACAATTATCTAAAATCTGCTGATCCAAAAATCATGCGCCCAAATTCTTAATGCCTAACTTACAAATGTAATGTTATTCGGAAATAGAGTCTTTGCAGATGCAATTAAATTAAAAATCCCCTGATAAGAATATCCTGAATTTGAGAGGACTCTAAATGCAGTGATAAGTGGGGAAAAAATATAGACAGGGAAGGAGGCTACTGGGAAGCGAGATTGTCACGGGCCAGGTGCGCCAAGAACTGCCAGCCGGCCACCAGGTGCCAGGTGGGAAAGCAGAGGACAGCTGCCCCTTGCAGTGTCCAGAAAAACTGACCATGACTGTGGACTTCTGGTGCTCAGAACTCTGAAGGAACAAGCTTTTGCTATTTCTTAGTTACCAATTTTTGGTACTTTTTGAATAGCCACTTTAGAGAACTACTGCATCTGCTAAAAACTAGTACAAGTCATTAGTGTCTTCTTAATTTTACAAATGTTATGTGACCTTAAATTCTTTATCATAAATGGCGTGCAGAGCAAAAGGCGCAGATGCAAAGTGAAGGGTCACAGGCAGGATGGAACTCCGCGCGCACGACCTACCTCGGAAGACGACCACCCGCTCGGGTACAGCACGGGAAAGCCATCCGACGTCAAGTTGGGGAATGAAATGGACAGCCTGAGCTCTGGCATTGGAAAATGTCCTCTTTTTCTAATCTACAGGAAAAATTAGGAGTGTAAGCTTTTCTTCCTCTTACAACAATATCATTTTCATCCTATGTAGCACCTTGCTCTCCACTGATAGATTAGGCTGCATGCACATGTGACCCCCCAAATAAACACGGGCAGTCACTGTATGGGAACTGCCTCAAGTAAGCCAGCAAGAAAGCAAGGACGTCTTTACCGTATCCGCTACAATCATCGTTTGTTCATTCTTTACTCTTAAAATAGCTCTGCGATAATAGAAAGCCAGAATCTGCTAACTGAACAACAGAACAAATTATCATGCTACTTTCTAACAATATAGGATTTTGGAGCCAGAAAGGAAGGAAACTGCCTGCCTGATCCATGTAGAATAATTTAGCATATTTTTAAGGCTACTTTAACTCAACTTATCATAGTTCCCAAAAGCAATAAATCACTTTTTAAAAAAATTTATGTATTTGGCACAGGCTCTCACTGTGCAGCTTGGACTTGTAGGGATCCTCCTGTCTCAGCTTCCCCAGCACTGGGATTGCAGGTGTGCCCCACCACGCCCACTTTCAGTGGCCAGGGCAGTGCACCCAGGGTTCCAGAGGGCCAGCATGGCATGCGGTACCGGAGATTGAACCTGGGTCCTTGAGCTTGCCAGGCGGGTGCTTAGACCACCAAGCTATCTCCTCAACCCCGATAAATCACCTTCAATTCTAGCTAGACAGGCTCAAACCAGACAGCCCGTTGCTTGCCTGCACAGCTCCATCCCCAGATAATACAGTCTGATACAGCGTAAGGCTGACCTTCATCTCCACCTCCACTTGTCGTAACCCACTAGACCTGAGCTTTCACTCTATATCCCACTGCGCCACCACAGACGACTGCAGCAGAGAGGGCAGGACAGACAGGGAGCAAGCCAGCAGGGAGGAGCTCTCACTGCCCAGGAGTCCTCGGCTGCTTAGACGGTGCGACTAAGTCGGGGCCGTTGGGCGCAGGGCCCTCCATCCTAGCCCGAGCCACAATCTCCAGGCCCTAACCCTCCCCGTGGCCTCTCTGGGCGCTGTCTTTATCCCAGTAGGAGCTCTGTGAGCTCTACAGACAGATACCGTGAAATCCACCACCCGCCAGACTAAGGGTTTTAGACTGGTAGTTGCTCTGATGGGTGCTGAAGATTACGCTCTATCCCTTCGTCCTGGACCTCTGGAGACTGCCCAGCTGTGCCTCGGCCCTCGCAACAAGAGCGTGCCCGTCACTCTGTGCCCTGCAGTGGTGTGCCCTGGGCTTGCTCGGGGGGCCTCCCACTCGCAGTTCATCTGTGCCCTGACGTACGGGCAACTCATCTTGAGAACACACTTATTTCTTCTTTGTGAGAGAAATCTTTTCATGTTGACGACTGCCGAAAAATTGAGACTATCTTAATTCATAACCGTGTTGGATTATTTCTGACTTTGGAATGCATATTTAAATCTATCACTTGAATTGAGTGCGTCTTTTCCCCCTTAAGTAAAAATAATGTAAATAACATTTATGGCTTGATTGAAGGAGTTATGACTGGGCTGCTCATAGGTTATATCAACTTGGTTTCATGCTTTATTTTTTTTCCGGATAATCATCCTAAGTTATTGTGTCTTAGGTGGAAATTAGAAAAACAGGTCTTTAAAACTGACTCCATGAATAATCTTTTTCAATTTAAATAAAGTATTTTAAACTAGTAAAACTATAAAGAAAAGTGTGCTAGGATCCAGAGACTAAATTTTAAAACAATATGTTTGTATTTTTGCTAATACTTTAGTTTATAAATGAATAAATGACTCTTTCAGATTACCTTAAAACTCAATTCTTACCAAGTAGAAGATATTGATTTCATTTCCAATGTCCTCAGTAGAATTAATTACTTCAGGGACAGTTTCATTGCTTGCGACAGAAATATGGTATTCACTTGCAGAGCTAAAGAATTTAAAACATAAAAATAAACCAAATGAGTTTACCTTTAACTTGGCCTCATTTTCTGTTTTTCAAAAACCATTTGATTCCATAGGAATACTTACAGAGAGTTCAAATCATAGGGGAATTCTTTCATCGGCAAACCAAAAATTAAATAAATATTTGAAAAAGGTGTGAAAGGTTCTGTAATTTAGATCATCATTTATGCTTATTTGCCCTAAAATGCTAATATACACAGCTTTTAAAATAAAAATTTCATCATTAACACGTGAAAATTTTTCATGAATTCAATATCATTTATATTTAGCATAAAAAATTAGAATTGATTGTTGTTAGTAGTGCTAAATTTTAACTAGACACTTGCTTTAACTTCCCTCTTCTCAATTTAAAATCCTGTATTTGATTAGACATTGCCAGTCCTGTGGATAACTGACTACTATTGTGGACTACTGGACTATATTGGAATATTTTGCTGAATTCATGCATCTACAATATTTGGATGGCAATGGAATACCCATCTCTGACAAAACTAAACAAAAAAGGAGACATAAATAAAGGACCATTTTGTATCTGTGTATACAAAATAGTTAGGATAGATATACAGCTAATTTCTCTTAATTCAGTGAGAAGAAAGATTTGTACTAATAGTGTTTGGACAGGATATCCTGTCTGCATTTTGTGTTATGAATGACTGCTACAAAGACAACAATATGCAGTGTATTAATTATTGTAACTCTCCTACCACTCTGTTTTGAAACTATCTCATTGCAATTTTTTTCTCAATAAAATTAATGAAAAAAAAATCCTGTGTTTACTGCTAAAGGCTCACTCTTGCCCATTGTGCTCCTTGGCTGGGCCACATAAAATTTAAGATTGCATTTTAGGGTAGCACTTCGGTCAAGGGAACGTAGAAGAAATACGTGTCAAAATGGGACTTGAAGTAAGTGAGAAATGATGAGTAAGATCAGTGTGACAACAGAAGTGGATACAACAGAATAGAGAAAAAGCCAGTGAAAGCTAAGGGCTGAACATGTTAGCGAGATTTGTGTGTGCGTCCCACTGCCTTTATCTTTGGGGCTGCTTATGCACAGGCAGAAAGTACTATAAAACAATGGGATTTTTTGGGCCAGGGAAATAGCTCAGTGGCATATGCAACTGCCTGGCAAGTACAAGGTCCTGAGTTTGATCCCCGGTACCAAAAGGAAAAAAAAAAGCTTTTAGATTGAACTTAACTTACAATTGGTTCTTATACTTTTTGTTTACAGTGCACATATTTATTTAGTTAAAGCTTGGAGTTCTGCTTAAGCATGGAAATTCACAGAAGGAAAGGCTGCCAGCATGACAGGGGGAAGGATCTTTAAGAAGTTCTTAAGAGAAAAACAGTTCATAAATACTGGGAAAAAGAAATCAATGGCTCATCAGTGAGAAACGCTTTCATCTTGTATGTTCAGAATGGGTAGGCTGGACACGTCCCACAGGACAAGAATGATGGTCAAGAAATGCGCCAATGACCTGTTAGAAAATACACTTTGTGAAAGAGTTTTAGGTCTCTAGATTCCACCGAGGACTTAAAACAGGACTGCCAATGCACGCTAGCATTTTGGACTGCTTGGAATACAGGTCTCAGATGGTGGGGTGAGGAGAATACCTGGGGGCCTTCAGTAGCCCAGATGTTGGGCCCTATCCCCAGCTTCTGACTCAGTAGATGTGGGGTGGGGCTGGACAATTCACCTCCCTACTAAGCTCCCAGGTGAGGGTGGTAGCACCCCACTCCCCAGGGGCCACCCTGGTCACAGAATCATCAACATAGAAGTGTGGCGTCCTCCTACCTGTAAAACTGTAGTCCAACTTCATATTTTACTGGAACAGAGATATTTACTTCATTATCAAAAAGCGTCTCAGGCGGTTCTTCGCTATCACTAGAAAGTAGATAGTACATTCACACAAGTCATTACGTTGCTGGTTACTCAGGGACATTTCTAAGCACCTGCTAAGGTGCTTATATGGGCAAGTGAGACAATGCGCAGAGGAGCACAGTTCTTGATTCTTCTAATAAATGGGGGAAGAGCAGAGGTGGGCACTGTCAGAAGCTCCCACCCAAGTTGGTTCGCAAGTGCTGCTGGGATTGAAAGCCAGTTTCCCAAAATTCTGAGACAATAATTTTAAGAAACACTAAGTTTCATTGTTAAAGCACACAGATCGAAGGGCTTGTCATAGAGAAATGAGGACTTAGTAGGCAGAAGCGGGACAAATTTCTGTTTCTAACAAAAAAGGCCTCAGAATGTTCGTCACAGACGAGGCTGTGCGAAGAGACACAGCGACAGGCACACCGACGGCAACAAGCCTGCCGTCTTCTGTTCTCTCGTTTCGAGAGTCTTTTCATATGCAGTAGCTGGGCTTGTGATTCCTAAAACATTTACTTATTCCCCTGACTTTAGTTATATTAATTACATTAAATGTGCACAATAAATTATGCATAATTTTACTGTAATACATACGTGTGCACACATGCATCTCATATTCTAATACGCATCCTCATTAAAGAGCCATGTGCAGAGGACAGAGCGACAGAATGGGACTGTTTCCAGACACGGCACACTGTGGGAAAATTACTTCATCACTTTGTGCCTTAGTTTCTTCATTCATAAAATAGAGGCTTAATTGTTGTATGATTAATAAATGATGATTAAAGGAATAATAAGTGTTGCATGTCTGGGATCACGCCTAGCACACACTGCGCTCGCCCCCACCCCTCACAGACCGCCCGAGCCCCCGGCAGTGGGTGGCAGAAGGCGCAGGGAGTAACTGTGACGCCTGCTGGCTACCAAGTGCACGCAGCTGCATGGAGCGGCAACCGCACGGCACTGGGTGAGCGCCGGGCTCAGCCCTGCTGTGCGTGGCCCTCCTCTCTCACCTGCCCTGCAGAGCACCTGGCGAGGCTTCCTATGAAGTGGCTCTGAACTGCACCTTCACTCCCTGCAAACCTCCTGGCTCCTCAGCCCCACCTCGTCCAGGAAGACCCGTCCTGGGCTCCCACTGGGGCGCAGCGCGCCTCGCCGGGGGCAGCTGCCCGCCGACCTCACAGGGTGCTTTCGCTGCCTCAGGTACAGTTGATTACAAAGCATTCCTCAAGCAGATCAACTAGTGGGCTTTCCAGGTTTTGCTCAAGCTGTATAGATATTTTTGTCTCTAGCATGTTTTTGATGAGAATATATGCTTTAATTATGCTCTGTGATGTTACAGAGCTAAACATTCACAAATTTCAGTTAGTATGAAATAGTTATTATCAATATTTATTCATTAACAGGCTCAAGAGCATGAAACCTCACTTCATACCAGACTCAGGTACTCTTAAGACGCCATCCTGATTTCACACATATACCACAAAACGACAAATACTTAAAAATTATAATGCAAGAAAAATATAAGAAATACATTTATCCTTTATTTTCAAAGTTGTGCATTCAGGAAAATTGTGCTGCACATCAGAACCCAACAAAACTATGGTCTTTGAGGCCAAGTGTCAAGCTGTATATTTTCCTTAAGAATATTCTACCAAATCCTATTCATCTACTTTGTGGTAAAATACTATCCAACTTTTAAGGTTTCTCAATTAAAATTTTCTTGACAAAGTTTTCTTAGGTTCTGTCAAGTAGAGATAGCTTCACCTCCCTTTATGCCTCTGACATATGGTCTGTATATCTATCATGACTTTCTCTCTCTACCCTGCACTATAATAATGTCATAAAAGTCTCCAGGTTGCAGTGTAGTAGTCACCCCATGAGGAGGGCAGCAACTTATACATTCATGTTAGTAATTCTATATTCTTTACAGTGATTAACTCAACATCTTTCACTATTGAAATCAAGTAAGTATGTGTTCAGTTGAGTTAAATTCAACATACCAAATTAGTTCGCCCATTACTTACACTGATTTACCCATCTGTCTACTCTACACAGGCACCAGGCCGGCCCCTCAGAAAAAGCTACAAAAGGCAGAGCTCGGTCTCACCAGGGGTGGTAGAGTGGGTGATTCCACTAAGGAGACAGTTAAACCATCGCTTCAAACTATTATTTTTTGTTGTTGTTAGTCTGTGTATTTTATGATAACTTTATGATGCTTTGACTAATTTGGATAAATTTTCTTAAATTAAAAAGGCTATTGTAGGGCTGGGGAGATAGCTTGGCAGTCTAAGTGCCTGCCTGGCAAGTGCAAGGACCTGGGTTTGATCCCTAGTACTACATGCCCTGCCAGCCCTAGAACCCGAGGACTGTCATGCTGGCCACCAAAACCAGGCATGGTGATACATGCCTGTAATCCCAGCCCTGGGGGTGGGGGGCTGAGACAGAAGGATCACTACAAGTCTGAGCTGTGTAGTAAGACCCTGTACCAAACAAATAAATAAATAAATGACTAATTTTTTTTAAAAGGCTATTGTAAAATATTAAGTCCATCTAGTGACTCAGTTGACTTTGATGGAAAACTTTTAAATTAACAGCTCTTGTAAAATCTTAAATGAATACAATGTGGCAGATATAAGTAGTATGTGATTATAATATATTCCACAGCTCATACAACCATGATTTAATCCAGTTGATTAAATTATTACCCTTAAATAAAATTTATTTTTTTAATTATGCAAAACAGGTTTTTGTGAAGCTGTGTAGGTCACAGACTTCACTTCTGCTGGTACTGTACAAGTCGCAGAACTCGCCAATGACTACAGAGCAAGAAATGTTAGTCATATGAAAGTAATCATATACATGTATGCATACAAATTCATACACACGCGAACCAACCTTGTTGCACTTAAATGGATGAGCATGTTTTCCATGAGGTAAGATGTGTTAAACTGAAATAATATCTTGAAAGTGACCTAGGAAGAAAGAACACATCCCCTTAGTGACAGATCTACAGACCTATGCAAAATCATTCTGAGATAGGAAAACACATTGGGATCCATTAATGTGTTAGTATAAGAATTCTTCTGGAGCTTCAAGGAATGTTAAAGCAAAAACTTGGTGACTTACAGTAAAGTAAATTATAATAAAAATGAAGTTTTGTTTGTAAGAGTTTGTGCAGTTAACATTATACTTAATAAAAATTTGAAAATATTTCCATGACATGAACTGAGATTTGAGAACGTATACCGAAACACATATAGACTACCTAACCCACGGCATACTAAAATGTATTTGCTGTGGTCCAAGAAGCCTTGTGGTAATACTTATGGAATCATGTTTCTAGTTGTCAGAATTAATTTTGCTTTATGCTGCAGTATTTTGAACTTAGGGTCAATGAAACAGCCCAAATGTAAAATAGAAACTCTCTAAAATTTTATCTTTGTGATTAAGTGCAGACAGGAGGAGTTTTGATTTTTAAAATTCTTCTTATCTATTTAGGCCCGATCATAGAAGAGATTATCAGAATCTCAAGGATCACTGGTTTTCCCGAAAAACTTTACTGTACCATCTAGTTCTCTTTTGCATTTTCTTCTTCTACATATATTCTGCTTTGAAATAAAAAAGAAAAGGGAGCAGTCTTTAGGAATCTGCAACCACAGCAATGTTCTTATTGTTTTGAAGTAATAAAATTCCAGTAAAATTGTATTTTTCCAGATGAGTCTGAGACAGCACAGGCAAAGGTCAGACTGCGTGGGTGGTTAGGTGAGGGCCCTGCCGGCCTCGCCTTAACCTCCGGGACTGGCTGGCCGTGAACATCTCTGTTTTCTTCATGGGGTTTTACACCTAAGGCAAGGCGGAGAAAAGTGGAGATGGAAAAGCTATGTGTTGCGTGTTCAGCTTATCCTGAAAAACTTAAAAGGAATATCTAGATCTTTGAAACTAAAAAATATTCTAAGTACAACACTAGTGTTGACATTGCTTGCAAACTGTCTTCCTTAGTGCCTAAAGATGAGCCATATTAATTTTAGCTTTTATCCTGAGTAGAAAGGAATTTCCAAATAGAAGAAGGAATGATTAAGAATGGTTAAATGTAGGAAATTAAATTCCTTTCAGAAATGGTGTGGGGCAAGTGGCTAGCTTTTTGAAAAAAAAATTAACTGGATTCTCTCCTTATAGCTCACAAAAAGTTATTCAAAATGGATCATAGACCAAAATGTAAGCGCTAAATGACAAACTCTTGGAAGAAAACATGCAAAAATATTTCTGACCTTGAATCAGGGAAAACTTTCTTAGATATGACAGCAAGAGCACAAGGTATAAATTTTTTTTTTTTTTTTTTTTTTGTACTCTAGGGAAGGTTCTACAGGGTGTTCAGGGTCTCACTACTAGATTGGACTCCTAGTGATCCACCTGTTTACAGCCTCCCACGAGCTGGGATCACAGGCACACACCACCACACCCAGTCTCAATTTGTCTCGGTGTGCCCCGGGGGCGGGGCTGGCAGGGCAGGCTGAGGGATTGAGCCCCACCCCCCGCCCCTGTGCCTGCTTGCAGGTGCTTTAATCCACTGAGCTATTTGGCTGGCCCTATAAAAGATTAAAGAAATAAGCTAGAGTGCAGCAGAATTAAAAACATTCGTCCTTCGGAGAAAGTGACAATACAACAGTGGGAATGGGAGAAGGTACTTGCAAATCATGGAGCTGATCAGGGACTTGTTTGTAGGATGTAGGACATAAGAACTTGCAGTTTAGTGATATAAAAGTAATATAAAGTGGGTAATACAAAATGGTAAAGAGTTGCAATAGACACTTCTCCAAAACATATACACATTTGGCCCATATGTACACAAAATGCTGCACAAAACCCCATTGGCATTAGCGTACTCACCAGAGTAACAATAATAAAGTGATTAGCTGTGTGGAGGAGCTGGAGCCCTCACCCACTTCAGGAGGGAGGACAGCACAGCAGGTCCATTTATCTGCCGTCGCTGTGTCTTCATATTGGAAGTTGCCATGTGATACTTTTGATTTTGATTTTTGCCTTGGTTTGTTGAGATTGTTATGACAAAATACATTTGATTGAATAACTTGTAAACAACCGAAACTTGCTGCTTGCAGTTCTGGAAGCCAAGGGCTGTCAGACCCAAGCGCCAGCCAAGCCAATGTTTCCTGACAGCCTGTTCTCCTAGGCTGGGCCTGCTGCATGACCTCACGGGATGCAAAGGATAGCAAGCTCCTGGTGGACCACACTTTTTCTTTTTTAATTTTTATTTATTTATTTGTTTATTTATTTGATACAGGGTCTTGCTACCCAGTTTGAACGCTCAGTGATCCTCCTGTCTCAGCCTCCCCAGTGTTGGGATCACAGGCACGTTTCATCACGCCCAGGGCTGACGTGGCCCACACTATCGGGGATCCAGCCTGGCCTTTGTGCTTGCCAGGCATGCACTTAGACTACTGAGCAGCTGTCTCCACAGCCCTGAACCACTTCTACAAAGCCACTGACACCAGAGGTTCCACTTCTTAATGCCACCACACTGGGGAGTAAGTTTCAACAGGAGAATTTTAGGGAGACACAAATGTTTTCAGTTATACCCAGATTTCAAGCTGTAAAATGTTTAAGCTCAATCTCTTTTTCCACATTATACTAAACTACCACTAAATGTATTTATATATTTGGTTTTACCCTGTTCCCACCGGGCTGAACCATGGTGGCACATGCATGGCCGTCCCATCACATGGGCTGTACCACTGATGGCTCAACAGATCTAATCACTTTCATTGGCCTTTTTTATTAATACAGTTATTGAAAACCTGCCCAAGTGGAGAGCCATGCGTGTGCCACTGGTGGTTCAAGCCACTCGGCAGGAAGACACACGAGTCACTGGGATTACAGGCACGTGTCAGGAGATTGTTGCAGATGCGATAAGCGCGTCGGGTCTCCTAGCCGGTGGCTGCGTGTGTCGCGCCTGCTCTGCTCACCGTTTCTCCTCTTCTCAGGAAAGGGTAGCCAACTCTGCATGTGATGTTCCGATGTGACTCACAACTGTCCTTCTGGATCCCCTAGGAGAAGAGGGCCAATAGAATTAGAGCAGATGAACAGGTGAAGGCAGCTTCCCGCTGCGCCTTGGAGATGGCAGGCCACGATGTGTCCCTCAGGGTGACCAGGCCACCGTGGCACTCTTCGACCGCCTGTGCTGTGGCTCGTCATGATCTGAAACATCACTGAAAGTGCTGGGAAGGCCGTGCACCTCATTTTCCTGTGTAAATCTGCAGTTGGAAATGAGACCGCCGGCAACGCCTGCCTCACTAGAGACTGTAGTACCCGTCCAAACCGGTTCATGCACGCTGGACTGCACAGTGCAGCACGCCACATGCAGAAGCACTTGGGGGGCTTTCGCACAGTGGAGAAGGAGGGCTCTGACCTGTGGGCACTGGGACTTACCTCCCGGGCCCACCACTATCGGCTTTGTCCTAGTCGAGAGTCCTTACTGCTGTCTGATTTTCTAACAGGTGGAGTTAGTAATATTGTACTTGGTTGAAACTAAAATGCCATTTCATATGCAGTACATTGTGGTTATATAAGCCAACAAAGAGGAAAATAATGCTGCTAGTTAAATAAACATACTTTCAATTCAAGATGTAATTACAGAAATGCAAAAATGATGCATTTTCAAATCTGTGCAATGAGTAGGTATAGTAATACTTAGAGAAGAATTAGTGAGAACTAAATATGTGAAATCCTTGAAGCATTGCCTAGCACACAGTACAGCTAAAGAAAGAGAGGCCATCACGCTTCCTGCTGCTGCTGCTGTGGACACAGCAGGGGACGCCGTCCTCTGGAGGTCTCGCGGCTCTGACTGCCAGGGCCACAGGGTCAGCTGAAAGGACGCGGCAGCTCTCCTCCCCGGGTGCCCCTTCTGGAGAGGACGTCAGGGCTACCATCTTCCCAGCACTACCTGCACTTACACTTTGGATTCAAATAACTATATTCATAATTAATACTCTGAGTCCAAGACGCAGCACATTAATGCCAGTTTTTCAAGTCTACTTTAAGCACCATGTCTCTGAGATCCTGACAAATGAAGAGACAGATCAGTGAGAATCTGAATTTATGGAAGCTAGAGAATAGCGTTTGCTATTATGTACATACGTAAGTGTGAATCATGTATTACTAATTTATACAACTATACACAGAACTTAAACTCAAGGCCCATCATTCATTTGGAGATCACAATTAAAAGCAAAGTTCAAATTTGGAAACACTAGTAACATGGTATTTCATGCAGATACTTTATTGCCAAAGTGCTTTAAAAACCTTCCAGGCAGGTATGTTTGCTGTGCCCCAGAGACCTCCTTCTATTAGGAGTTAACAAAACGTACTAATCGAATCAGACATTTTGTCAAGTGAGGATTTCTCCTGGACAGGGAGAAGCGGCCTCTTGGTCTTTCTGCCTTAAGTGAAGATTTCGTTTTCAGCACAGAGAACTTCTCTGCCCCTCTGTTAAAATTATTTTCACTTTGCTATATTTACTTTTTTCTCGGCTCGATCTCAATTTCACTGGTTTAAGGATCTGGAAACATACATTTTGATGCATTTCGGACTTCCTCAGAGTTGCCTTAAGAAGGGACATACATCTCCAAGGAAACAGGACAGAGCAAAAACATGGAAGCACCTCGGTACTTTTGGAATTAGTGCATGCCGATTTCGTACAAAATCTGCATTACGATAGAATCTGTATAATAAAATCAATTATTTCAGAAACACGAAAAGTGGGTTTAATAAACGGTGGTTTTAACAATAAATAAATGAAACTTTACCTCGATTCCTGAAAAAATTAGATTTGGAGAATGCTGTGCGATGGTTCTGGTGTTATAAGCACTGTCACCTTTATTTTTGACCGTGATGCTAATGTTGAACTTGTCGTTCTGGGACTTGACAGTAAACTGGCCCTGTTCCATGGTGGTTACATCCAGCGTGACGTCCGAAATACATTTTTCCTTATGCCCACAGTCTTTGGCAAACGGAATCTGAAAGTCACCGACATAGTTTTCAAATTGCACTTAAGCATGCTTGGAAATAATCTATTAATTTGTGCAGCAGAAATGACACAGTGTCAAAGTGTGCTAAGCAATCAAGGTGTGTTACAGAAATCTTCAGGAATTTTGTACGTATTCTTAGGCGCATAAACTTTGCCCACAGATACTTCTCTAGTCCTGTATATAAAGTAGGCTTGCCCTTTTGAAATGCATAATTTTGGATGTTTTTCACTTCCTTTAGTCTACCAGAGAAGAGCAGCTTCAAAAAATTCAAGCCGAGAATTAAGGCTGAAATCCAGTCAGTGCCAACTAGGAGACTGTCCGACTGAAAAGAATCGGAGCTTAGAAGGGCGCCGCCGGGGCTGCAGGAGGGCGAGCGAAGGTGTCTTTGCTCTCGGCCTGCAGTTTCTTCACTCCTGCCGGGCTCTCTCCGAGGGCTGCGCGTCCCTCCTCTCCGCTAGAGCCCAACCGGCCACCCCTTTCTCACGGTCTTCTCTCGGAAGGAGAGCGAAGGCCTTCTCACCATCTCCTCCACCCACTCTTACCTCCTTCCGATCATTCTTCACGTTGTACCCGCGATAGTCCTTGAATAATGCACTCCAGGCCCGTCACTAAGCCAGATTTAAACTTTCAACGCCGCTGCACTGTTTTGTTTGTTTTTTTACTTAAAATAATTATTTATTTATTTGGTGTGGAGTCTCAAGACACAGCTCAGACTCACAGCGATCCTCCCGTCTCAGCCTCCCCAGCACTGGGATTGCAGGCGTGCACCACCACACCCAGTTTCGGGACCTGCACGGATGTGGGACCAGGGATCGAACCCGAGTCCTTAAACTTGCCAGGCAGGCACTTAGACCACCGAGCTACCTCCCCGGCTGTACTGTTGTGCCGCTTTTAAAAAACCTTTTTCCAGCTTTTTTTGAAATCTGCCTGCAGGCCTCGAACCCCGCAGGATCTGGCACCAGTGCCTCTCCCTCTGCTCTCACCCTGGGGCTCTAGTTTCACAGCTTCGCGACCCCTCAGGCCTCCAAGTGCACTAAGCCTTCTGCGCTGCTCCCCGCCCCCTCCAGATCACGGAACCTCGTCCTCTCCTCCGGTCACAACTGCAGTGCTCTGCAGACTCCGCTGAGGAAGGTCCGGGGAGCTCTGCACCCCCTACACAGCAGTGCCTAGTTCCTAACACCTGGCTTCCGGGCAGACTGTACTCTCTCCCCGTGTGACAACAAACGCGTGTGGAAGTGGAAGGCTGGTTGAGAGGAAGGCGGCTGCGGGAAAGCTGAGGCCTCTGCCGCCCCGCCCCCACTCGCTTTCTGCTGCGCTTGGAAGCAAGCTCGGGGTGCAGCTCAGGGGCTTCACGTTCCTGCGGGGGCCACGTGGCCGGGGAGGCCTATGCTCTGCCCTGCTCCTCCGCCTCTGTGCAGTAGTGGGGGCCCTCAGGGCGGAGGCCAGAGAAGGCCAGCACTGTTGAGGTCTTGCTGTCTGTTTGTGGCCTGAGGACAAGGCTCAGTATGAGGACCCGAGGTTAGTGACGCCTGCGCCTGCAGCCCAGGGCTGACTGGGACCGAAGTGGAGGTTTCTTGCAGCTGGTCCTCAGTGCAGGTGAGATTTTAAAAGGTGGGCATCATTTATTAGCTCCCCGGACTCCCACGACAGGAAGTAAGAAGGATTGGGAGCTACCCGAAAAGGGCCCATACGTACACGCATGCCTGCCCACGACTGACGAAGGGCTACGCGTTTCTGTATTCCAGCCCTTCCCCTATTGCATTCTCAGACAGTTATTCTGACTTACATATTCATGCACGGAGTTTGGCAAAGAATCATCCAGCACAGGCCCGTTTTCCGGATCAGTGAGGTTGAAATCCACAGTCACTCTCACGGAGTCCTGAAAGTCATGCTTGTCCTAGAGGGAAACAGCAGTAGCTCGCTGGCACCACACCGGCTCCAGGCTCTGCTCTGCTCTTCTCCTTCGGCTCCCAGGTCTCCTGGAAACCTGTTGTGTGACTAACCGTAGGCCTCGTCAGGCGTTTGCTTCCCGGGGAGGGCACAGCTTTTCTGCTGACCAGGGACACAGCTGGACAGCAGACACCTCAGGCTACGAGCAGTTGGCTCCTCCGCTACAGCCCTGCCGGTGTGCTGGGACACATGGTGAGCTGTTTAATATCCTTTCTCTTGTGACCTTAGCTAAAAATCAGTGTGCAATGCAGTACTTCCGGGACAGGCTTCCCAACTTTAAGTGGAGTCACATGTCTGTCTGTCTGTCTGTCTGTCTGTCTGTCTGTCTGTCTATCTAAATATATATGTAGTTCTATAAGAATTTTAAAATGTAAACTGACATAGAAATAATATGAATATGACTAATATTAATATCATCAATAACTTTCATTCACAGTATCCACAATTATAAACTTCACATATATTATTGTGAATTATTTCAATATTACTCAAAAGTGAGTGACTATTAGGACTATTTTACAGATGATAAATTGAATCTTTAAGACTAAATGATCTTACCATAGTCGCTCAGAATGTGGGCAAGCTGGCTACAGGATAAATGTTAAAATGTTCATTAGAACCCCAAAGGATTTTGGAGCTTTTGAAATTAGTCTCTCCTTCACATGCAGTACGTAGCACAGCGGGGACCCCGAGCCCGTGGTCAGACTGCCGGGCCTCTCAGTGAGCTGTGGGCACCCTCTAGTTCCTAGGTACTCTTCTCTGAGGAGCTAAGAAGGAGGGGAATGTCCGGGCTTATTTTTTCAGATCATAGTTAGGCCTTACTGTTGACTGTACTGTACTAATAGTGCTTAGACGAGAGACCATGTCTCCATCTTGTCCTCCGAATAACTACTATGAAGACAGCAATATGCAATGTATGAGTTATTGTAACTGTCCTACTGACCTGTTTTGAAACTGTCTCATTGCTATTTCTTTCTTATTAAAATTAATAAAAACACAGTACATATGTTAATATTCATGGGGAATATTGACATGAAAGTCAACAAAGAAGAATAAATGTTCCCACCAGATGCCCACCTCTGTCACTTTTCTGCCCTAAAATTAGCAAAATGTAAAATGCAAATACATTAAGTTTATGGAAGTAAGTGAGAGGTGGGGAAGTCAGCCCTTATTCTCGAAGATTCTAAGGTCATGTTCAAGTTTCCAGGTTAATTTTGTGTACTAAAGTCAGTGTTTCTTCTTTACCTTTGTTCTGCTTTCTTACAAAATACTACCATGCATATTTTCAGAAAATGTTTAAGAAATTCCCAACCTTAATTGAGAACACTTTCTACTTATGCAAAATCCAACAAAACACATCTAAAATGAGTCGAATTGGTTTATCCACCATCTCCAGGAATTAATACTTTACTTTTCACGTCTCTCTCATTCACTGAAAACAGAGAGAAGCACAAAGTAGCACAAAGCCTGAGATCCAGAAAATACCAGAATTTTGTTCATTTGCAGTCAAAGAGCAAGATGTCTATTTCACCAGAGCCCAGAAAGCACTACTCAACAGTTTTCCCTCAGGGCAGTTAGTCTCTTATGCACGTTTGACAGATAAGGCTCGGGAAGCTACATGATGCTTTCAAACTGAATAAACAAATGAATGGTTGAAAAAAATGAATGAATGGGCCTGCAAGATGGCTCAGCGCTCTAAAGTGCCTGCTTAGGCAGACTTATGCAAAACGTGGGGACCGTGGTGGTTCAATCCCCAGAACCAGATGCTGTACCAGCCCTGCCTGGGCTGAGCTAGCCACCAAAAAAAAAAGAAGAATGAATGAAGGTTTCTTGTCAGTTACCATGTGAATATCTGATACACACAGGGAACCCTAATAATAGCTTTATCAACTATACTTGGAAATAATAAAACCATACTTGTGATTTTTCTGATAAGAATGAACAAACAATATAAAGTTAATATTGTGGACTTTGAAATAGTACAGCAAGAACCAGACTGCCTTGATACGAGACGCCCATGCCACATCCTGCACTTGGAGCGAGGCAGTGACAGCACATGATTTACTTGCCAACATGTAGAAGGAGTGCCTAACGCACTGGGATTCTCGGACAGTGACGTTTCTCTGAATCCGTCTTTCCTGCATGCCGGAGAAAAAGCTTCGCGATATCAGCCTCAGGGAATCTAGGGTGACACGGTACTGCATATCTACAAAAGCGAAAGAAAACTGACATCACTGCTCATTTGAAGGTGACTTTCGTATGATTCAGCGCATTAACCGTACTCACCATGTCTACGCGCCCGCGGTACACCCCTTCAGCTAGACAACCTAAGGAACCCGCGGAGACCGGCTCTGTGTTCACGATGCGTCTAGTGTTTAACAATGCTTGCTCTGCGTGGAAAGCCCATAAAAGCTCCCGCATGCAGAGTCACACGTCTAATTTACTGATCATGTTTGTGCTCACCAGACTTTCTGTTAGAAGACTTGTTTGAGCCTGGAGTACTGATTATATTTCAATAGAGACAAAATAGGTATCAGTGGTAGTTGTTTTTTTTTTTTTTTGGTCTTTTTGAGACAGGGTCTTGCTATGCCATTAGGCTGGCCCTGAGATCACTTTGTAGTGCAAGATGGTCTCAAACTTGCAACAATCCTCCTGCCTCAGCCCCCCAAGTGCTGGGATTACAGGCATGACCTACCACACCCAGCTTATTAATTATATTTTATTTTTTTCCTTAAATAAAAGATTCATGTTAGAGTATTTTCAAAGTAACATTAAATTCCCTAAAAGGCATATCACAATGAGGAAAAAAGTGAGATCATACTTTGTATGTGGGCTACAACACTTGATTATCTAGGTAGCAACAATAAGACTGACATGATGCTGTATATTGAAATGAAATCATTATTTTGGGCTGGCCAGATAGCTCAGCAGAGTGAAGTGCCTGCTTGGGCAGGCGCAGGCATCGGGGTTTGATCCCTGGCACCACATGCCTTACTGGTCCCACCCCGGGCCGTGCTGAGAGGGTGACTGAGACTGAGTGTGGTGGCGAGTGCCTGTAATCCCAGCACTTGGGAGGCTGAAAGCAAGAGGATCACTACGAGTCTGATCTGTGTAGTGAGACCCTGTAGACTCTGTACTAAATACATTTTTTAAAAAATCATTATTTCACTTTCTTCCAGTTCATTTGCCCTCTAGACAGGGGACTGGTTAGAGCTCTAAACACACATGGGGAGAAAAATCAGTTGTATGGATTGTCAAGTTTTCTCACTGTGCTCACGTTGTACGCAACGTATATTACTCTTGCGCAGGCCATGCCCTTCCTACCTTTGACCGCAACGTATTTAAACCTCACCAGAAGCTGCTTAGAAAGCACAGTGTGTGGGGATGAGGGCCACATGCGCCGACATGATAGACCGAGGACCCCCACACAGAACGAGGGTCACTGCAAAGCCAGTAGCCCTTCTCAGTGCAAAGGAACCCCTGGGCTGCCTAGCCTTCAGGTCCTCTGTAGTACCAGTCTCTGCCAGCAGGGGGCAGGAACAGGGAGCGAATGCTTCTGTATCTTAGCATCTGCTGGTAGTACATGGAAGCCAGAGGACACTACGATGTTGAGGTTCCTGCATGCAGGCATGCGATTTTTTTCTACAGAACTGGGTGGATTCTGAAATCTGCACAGCGCAACCGCTTTCAACAGCTTACGGGGCAAGCGCAACAGGGAGCGCGCCAGGGCTGCAGCGTCCTGCTGATCACCAGCTGCCGCAGACGCGTCAGCCTCTGCCTGAGAGGTCGAGCCGCAGGACAGTGCTCACCAGCTTCGTACACGGAGTCCTCTTTGGACCTCAGCTTCGCAGTGAAACACACTGTAGCATTTATGCACACTGTTTCTTTTCCCTCCACGCGGCAGTTTTTCTTTTGAATATTCACTTGATTGGGTTCAAAATTCATGGAGACTTCAACTACAGCCACATCTCGGGACCTAGAAGCGCACAAACAACGGGGATTGCTTGCACATTTTGTCTAATGAATGCCATCCACTCGGGAGTGCAGCGCGAGTGCATGGGGAGCGCGCTCCCTCGTACGGCAAGCAAGCCCTCAGGAGTGCATTCTCCAGTACAGAAGAGATTATGTCCTGTGTTCTGAGGAGACCCAGCTTGGACCATTTGGAGCACCCCGCTCAAAAGCCAAATATCTAGTTCCGCTTGCGATGCAAAAGACAGACAAACAAGTGCCCAAGCGCACGCTCAGAACCAAAACTGCATCTGCGGTATGTCTAAGTTTCCAATGTAGCCCAGAGACGGCTAGAAGACTTGGGGAGCCCCCGTTAGTTTCCAGGAGGGCTCTGATACTTGTCTGTTCTTGTGGATTCAGCCCTGTGTGTTTCTGGAAAGAGTAAGTAGAATAATATTCAAAGCTCTGAGTTTGGTAGATATGTTGTTTAATTTTTGATCACCTTTTATTTTTATTTTTTATTTTTGGCAGAATCAGGGATTGAACTCAGGCCCTTATGCTTGCCAGGGAAGTGCTTATTCTACTGAGCCATCTCCCCGGCCCCCTTGATTACCTTTAAGAAGAAGAAATATTCTAGCCTTCCTCTTATCCCCATTTTTGCTTTCCAGTTTCAGTTATATGTGGTCAACCATGATTTAAAACAAAAATTGGAGAATTCCAGAAAGAAACAACTCATGCACTGTAAACTGCATGCTGCTCTGAGCAGCGTGATCCTGCACCTTCCTGGTCTGTCCTCCTGGGAAACGAAGCACCTCTGTCCAGTGTATCCATGCTGTATATCTTACCTGCCCCCTACTTCGTGGCCACCTCGGTTATTAGGCTGTGGGCACCCCTGCACTTACAGAGTCTGTTACTATCTGAGGCCTCATGTATTCACAGGGGTCTTGGAGCACACCCTCGTAGGTAAGGGGAGGTTGTACTGTCTTTATTTTGTAAAGTGAGGTAACTAAAGTAATGTGTCTCTGACCTATTTTTAACCCAAGGTTGAAATCTGTTAAAAAGGAAACAGATTTAATCTCAGTCCTTTTCATTCTAAAGCCCAGGGATTTCCACTGTTCCCAAGTGGTGGCAGAGTTAAAGATTAGGTAGAAAGAATGTGTGGGACATGAGGACACTGCCTTTGGACGAAGTCAGAGCACGTGTCAGACATCATCACTTGGTCCCTGCTTTGGGAGCAGGCTGGGTCCTTATAACTAGGTATCTTCTGAACACTGATGTCTCTGTCTATGCTTTTGTTTTTGAAAAATGATATCTTTTTCTTTTAGAACAATTTACTCACATAAGACATGATAAAACACAGAGGTGCATAAGGAAAACAGTAATTTATAGTTACCACTCAGCAACAATTGTCAGCAACATTTAGTACGCCAAGTGTTTTGTCTTTGCAGAAGAATAGCAGTATATGTATACACATCATATGCTGGTACTGTACGTATACAAGTATGCCCATGCATGTGTGCATATTTTTAAGCTTACAAAGAACAGCTTTCAATATTGATATTTTCATGAGTCCTTGATTTTAATGCCAGGCTACTATACCAGCATATGTATGTACCATAATTTGCATATTCATTTCTCTTAGTAGATATCTTGCTTTCTTTTTCTAAACAAATGGTTATTAACACAGTGCTATTATTGCTCTAAAGATAGTATCTCTTTAGCCATATTTCTAGAGTATACCTTTACATTGTTTTAGGAAGTAAACTCTTTGAGCATATTTTAAGACCTTGAAATTCTTATTGTCTGCCCTGCCCTGAGTTCTGGGCAGTTTACCCTTTCATCAGCAGGGAGTGCACACACCTCACTTCCTACTTGGTACATGGTCACCACACTCGAGCTGCCCTGGCCTCCATCTACCCCACATTCCCAGGCTGCTCTAATGGGAACCTCACATGGGCTACAGTTGGTCCAGTGCAGGGACCAGGCTCTTTGCTTTCCACTTGCAGCCAGTTGGCACCTGCCTTGGCATGCAGTACTTTCTGCTCTTTATCCTACTTTACTTCGTTCTGCTGTTACAGACCCTGGGCTACGACAAGAACTACAGCTCTTTTGGTGACTCAGGTAAGTGAAAGAAGAGTCCGTTATCCCTAAAAACTTATACAGAACTCAGACTCAGGGATACCTTCTCATTTATGCATTTCTTCTAGAAAAGTCTGCCTACCCCTACACCTTTCTGATGTTAGTCAGCTCTCTTGGTCTAGGAACTAACACCAAGCAGCAGCAACCTAAAGAACAATGTGGTTTATTGGCCACAGTTGCGGAGGGCTGAGCTCATGTTTGCTGGTGCGAGGCAGATGCGCCATGGTGGCAGGGCGTGTACAGCAGAGACACTTAGCTCCCGGTAGCCAAGGGAATAGCAGCAAGGAGGCGAAATCCAGGGAGCAGCCTCCGAGCCCAGGACCACACCACCAGGGCCCACACAGACGCACCCAAAGCGTGCTTTCTGATCCCCCACTGCTCCCAAGCCAATCGAGGTGACAATTAGGCCTAACCAAGACTTTCTCAAGGGGATAACTTGGGCCTGTGAGATGGAGCACAGAAGGAAACAGGCACTTGGTACAGCACAAGCTCCAGTCATATGCTGAGACTACGTACCAGAAAAGGGCCGCGCCACCAAGGCCCCCAATGGTCACGTCAGTCAGACCGTCCCCATTTAAATCCATCTCTCCGTGGATAGACTGGCCGAAAAACTTCAGGGTCTTGCCGTCCCCACCAGATGGAATACGCTGTGAAAATTCCAGCAGAGAGCTGAATGTCAGGAGACTCTGTTCCGAAGTTTCAAATGAACTTGAGAATTTAGACTGGTTAACAAGATAATTAAATGCTCTTTTGGGAATCAAGAGCCACTTCATGTGGAAACACAAGGAAAGTCCCAGGTGTTCCCAAAGGACATTGTTGTTTTCACCGTACAAACTCCTCTGTGGTGACATTAGAGAAAGGGGAATACATAATAATACCATCCTGGCTAATCTGAAACGCGACAAGCAACTGGCTCTACATTCTAGCTCCTTTTCACTCTTATTATGCAGAGATATTTAAAGGTGCTAGACACCTTGAACACATTATTATACCAACAAGGAGAGGAGTGGATTACTCTGGGCATTACATCGGGGCTCACTGAATTTTGTTGCTGGTTATAAGTAGCAACATTCTATCAAATGCATATTGCCATTACGCAGCAGTTTATAGTGCCCATCTGGAATTGTATTCAGATGTACCGGAGTGCAGGGAAGGGCCCGGGAATGAATGCGGCCTTCTTGAGGGCTGGCCTGTGCGCATGACCATAGATGAGATGTGAGTTAGCTGGACCGTTCATTCAGCATTAGGGAAAGCTGACGGCACTGAATAAGCTGATGGCAGAGAGGCAGGACTGGAAGGCCCTCCCTAGCCTGGGGCTCTCCTCATCTTCTTGATGTCCACTTAAAAGACAAAATAAAAACTAATGTAAGGCAAGCCGACTGGAAATGGTTTTACTCATTGAGCGATGTGTCTCCCTGCGCATAGCTGCATACGTTTTCAGTGAACCAGTCAGGGGCCCTGAAGCAGCCGATTCTCGATCATTCTGCATGCTGGCAGCAGGGCTGGTTCACATGGAAATCACTAAGTGGATCTGTTCCTACTCCTACCCAAGCATTCTGCCTGTAACTAAATGAATCTAAAACTAGTATTCTATTCTGATATGTTTGTTTCAAGCTGTACCTTAATTTATCACTATTTTCTGAAATAAATTTTTATGAAAATCTGTTCTGTTTGCTAAGTAAAAGTGTTTATTTATTCATTTATTTTTTACTTCAAATGCCATTCCATTAAGTTTGCAGGACTAATCCTCAAGCAGTCTAAAATCCAGCAAGGAAAACCTCCTCCTGCGTTTCTTGGTCCTATGTGCCCCAAGGACCAGTACTGCCAAATTTAGTTGAAGTGAAGATGTTTTTTCAGCATATGGGATTGAACCTCTGGCCTCATGCATGTTAGACAAGCACTCTGCCACCGAGCTATATCCTAAGCCCTCTTGCTGAGGTGTCCAGGTGGGCTCTGAACTTGGCATCCCTCCTTGGCCTTCTGAGGAGCTGGATTAGAGGTGTGTACCACCAACCCTGATGGGCTTTTACAGAAAGTAGTCATGTATGAAACAGATAGGAGTGTTGTCACTGACAAGAGGCCGCCACCTTGCTCACTCTTAGTGTCATTATGACTTCACGTGAGATTAAGCACATGTCCACAGTAGGTGAATAGGTTCTGAGAGCTCTGTGGGCTGCAGAGCCAGAGGCCACTCAAATATAAAAAGAAATAATTAATATCTATGTTTCTTTTCATGTTATAGAAACTAGAGAGTGTTCAGCTCTATTCTATTTGTAAGCAGCTGCTGAATGCCTAAGTACAAGAAGCAGATGATTGCATTAGAACTGTTAGACTTTCTTTTTTTTTTGATGCATTAAGTGATTATTTAAATTAGATTTAAATAATCCAATAATAACAATTTAATAGATTTAATTTAGATTATTTTCTCACATACGAAGACATTAAATTTCTAGACGAAAGCCATTAACTGACAATAAATTTAAAACAGGAACAATAGAAATCCCCTGCAGGTTAAGCCTAGGTTTTCAAAAATTTTCCATGAAGGATTACTTGTGAAAAAATTGTAAACTTTGATAAGACAAAAATTCACTTGATGAAAATCTACCAATTTAATTCATAAGCGTACACTGAATGTAATTTCATTATAATAGCTTGGATACCAATTATATAAACAATGGGCCTGGGGCGATGGCTCAGTGGAATAAGTGCTTGCCTGGCAAGCACAGGGTGCTGCGTTCAATCCCTGGTACCACCAAAAAAAAAAAAAAGCAAAAAACCCAAACAATTATATGAACAATACTCTCGTCTCTTGTATTATCTAATTCATACAATTATTCTCTTACTCAGAAAGCAGTATCTTAGGATGGAACACACTGCGGTGCTGAGTAGCACTGTTACAGAACGTTCTTTTTTGTTTTGTCGTTTTTCTTTAGCTCTCTTCATCTGAGTTTCCATCTCTTGTTCACTCGAGCTCCCATAAGGCTCGCGCTCCTCCCGGGGGGTCGGGTCCTGCTCGGAGCGACGCCTGGGGCTTCTCTTCCCAGCCCCTTCTGCTCCCCACCTCTCGGTCCCTCTCCCTTTCACCTCCCTCCTATTTCCCACCCACCTATTACTTTGCTCTGGATTATATTCTGGGTTTCCTCAGGTAAGAGAAGGAGTGCAGTGTTTTAAGCTGAAATAACAATGCCAGACACAAGTATAAAGTGCGAAGTAATTCCTCCATACGGAGCACTTAGGAGAGGGTTAAACCTAGTTTCCCAATAGTCAAAAATGAAATAAGCTGTGGACCAAAGCGGGCAGCGCCTGGCAGGGAATCCGCCCAGCGCTGGCTGGCAGGAGTGTGTGCATTTCACCTCTTACTTGGGCATACTCTTTCCTTATGGTTTTGCCACTCCCGTGATAAATGTACACAGCCCCGGCGTGGTCGTCCTCCAGCGGAGCGCCTATCACGATGTCGTTGAATCCATCCAGATTGAGGTCTTTCACCGCAGCGATGGCTGTCCCAAAACGAGCGCCGCACGGCTCGTTGCTGTTGTCTTTTGTGCATGAATTGTGCTTCAGAGAGGAGCAGCAGGTCTGCTTCATTGGCTCCAGGCTCATCTGATATTCGAACCTCGTCTAGAAGGAAGATGTACAGGATACTTACGGCTTCTGTCATTACTGGGGCAGAGTCAATTTCTACAGTACATGACAAATCAGTGCTACCAAAAATGTTGGTGCATCCATGACAATGTTCATAAGATTTCTTCAAAAGTGATCCTATCTGAGGGCAAAGCTGGGATCCCAAAGAGCAGCTTTTGGGCACACCAGGAGATGTGCTGAGAATCATAGCGGGCTCTCTCGTA